TAGTACACGTTGTATTGTTTTGACATTTCTTTTCAGTTATTTTAATAATTTTACACTTGAGGTCAATTAACACAGGAGCAATATGTTAAATTAACACATGAATGTGTTGAACATTCACACAAAAATTTTAACCGGCATTTTTTTAAACAAAAAAACACAAATTTTCCAACTGTGTAGTGTACTATTTGTAAAAATTCTGAAAAAAATCGCAAACATTAATGTCTCTTACTATCAATGCCCCGAGAAGAATTAAAGATAAGGTATTAACACAAAGTGTTAATTAATTACTTTCACTTATCGTTAAAGGTAAATGTATTGTATCTATATGTACGTAATATGTACGTAAAATGTCAAGGTCGTCTTCCTTATCGATTTTGCAGGTCGACACGCGAACGGTATTGTTGCTTTATTTCTTATTGCAAAAGTAATTAGAGTCATTACGCGGCGTTCGATCCGGTCGTTGAACGAGAGCGATTTTAAACCGTCGAATTCACCGTCGACGAACGTCGCACATGCTCGCGCGAAGATGACGATGCGTTTCTCGATGAATAGCAATTGCCAAAGCTGCCGCGTACACGCAGCGATGATCTTAACCTACGTGAATGGATGCATACGAATATTACCGAAACTATTCCAATTTACGCTTTCAGACCGGCGCTAATAACAAACTCTTCGACAATTGGGCGGTTCTATAATTATTTTTATTGAATGTTGTCTTTATTTATCCGAATTTAGTGAAGCTACCTCCATCGGTAGAAGAGATATGGCTTTAGTATTAATTTAAATCATGTCTCTTCCATTTTGATATTCCTGCATTCTTCGCTACCTTTTTTCTTTCTTATCATTCAGGACAGAAAAGAGAAGCAAAGAGAGCTGCGGAAAATAAGGAGAGAAGCTGCGATTCTGGACTGTTGCTTTTGCGTAAAAACGATCTAACAAAATTATCTTTTTAAAAAAAGGTACAAAAATGGCCAAGTATACGCGTAGAAAGAACAAATACATAATGAGCAAAATTTTGGTTAAAAGGTACTCAAATCTATCTTCTCTACAAAAGGAATGATATAAAAAAATTGCACCAACTATAAAAATTGTATTAAAATCTTATGTCCAATGATTACAGAATACGATTTTATATAGTAAAAGTTTTGAGCGTATTGTTTTACATACCAATATTTGATGCATATTAACAAAAGCATGAAAAATGTATAAATCTATAGAAAATTAAACAATCTACATTCAATTAAATGTGATTATAAATGTGTTTTGTAATACTTTTCTAAAATTCTTGAAGATGCCTACAATCAGAATTTTAATTATTAGAAATAAAACATTTTATTGGAAGAAATAAAGAAGATAATATTAAGCAGGCAAATATTTATACAAATAAATATTTTATTCTAAATTCTTGGCGCTGCTAAACCGAATTTGACATACACATCCCACCCATACACACGTGTGCGCGCGTGCGCACAGGCGCGCACGAATCAGAGAGAGAGAGAGAGAGAGGGGAGGAGAGGGAGAGGAGAGGAGAGAGGAGAGAGAGGAGAGGAGAGGAGAGAGAGAGGGAGAGGGAGAGAGAGAGAGAGAGAGAGAGAGAGAGAGAGAGAGAGAGAGATTGATTAAGGCAATTAACATATTCATTCGGTCGGAGTCGCTATTACCGTGTCTCTTGATAAGGCAATATCATGCGATAAAGCACGAGAAATCCTGGCACGTATCTAGGAGTGAGAGCGACCCATCGTGCTGTATCGCCGTTTTGCAACTTTGCCAATTCGACCAGGTTCTCCATGTGAATTCGACCAAGGGAGGTGCCGTCGTCAGTGTTCGTCTTTCTTGCACGTCGCGTGTTTTCTGCCGAGATGTTCTCGCATTTCTACATGACAGGGAGCGCCAAGCTGCCGCCTTCGTGGTGCGACATTGACGATTTGTTTCCGGTAAGTATGAGAGCGAACAGAGAAAGCAAGGAAAGAACCAGACGCGACGTTATCTCCTGTATAGGAGATCCATTAGGTTCACATATTTGCATAAAACTACATTCATGTTGTGAAAGGACAATTCGTATATGTGTTGTACGTAAAACTTTGTGGAAAAACTGTAATGTCTATTGGATTCCTTCGATTGAATGATATTTTTCTTATTTATTGAATTATGTTAAACGTCTTTGAGATGCAATTGTTGTGATCTTGATGGCGTAATCAAACGACACTGTATATGAAATTCAATGATCTATTATGTCTATTTTTTAAATTACACCTCAAAAGTTTTCAATGTCTAAAAATATAGGATCTCTATTCGAGATCTATATGTTTTCCGCGACAAACGCGTAGAAAACGGTGAGGCGTATGGAATGCGAGTAATTTATTTGTCTTCGCTGAATCGATAACTAATTAGCTCCATTGATAAGTCACCCAATTAATTATCCGAATAAAAACGCTACATTCACGCATTATGCTGAAATGTCCGTGTGCGTCGCGGTTTATGTGTCGCGTCGGAATGATTACATCATGCTGATTTATTTCATTTAATAAAAATGACGTAATGTTGCGAAACATCGAATAAAAGAGTTCGATGAGAAACACAATTTGAAGATAAATACAAGAAAGAGACATGGTCACGTTCTTGGGAGATAGTTGCTTCTGCTCTCGAAATTATTGAGCAAATTGGCTTGATATCTAATTTCGCCTGATATAATTTAATCGCGACCATTTATTAAAGAAACAAATTTATGCTTTTATTATTTCCACGTTACGAGTGTACTTAGTTATGTGCAATCTATAAAATGTTAATTTACTGCCATAGCATATATTGGAAAAATTAAGAATAAAATTAAGTCAGTACCCAAACAGCACCGAGTCGACTATTAGTTGACTGTCAGTCGGCAGCTGAAGTCTAAAGTCGACTTCAAAGTCAAGCTGAATGTCAACTTATAGTCAATTAATAGTCAACAAATGACTCGACTATAGTCGGCCAAAAGTCGACTTAGAAGTCGACTTTATGGCAATAAAAAGTCGACTTTATGATGATTAGAAGTCTACTTTATGACGATCAGAAGCCTACTTTATGGCAATTAGAAGTCAACTTTTAGTCAATTTTACGTTATTTATATTAAATGTTTAATAGTGACGTCTTAAAAACCTGATTGATTAAAGTTTTTATATTTTAATTGTATAATATTTACAATATATAATACAATTAAGAAATAATAAAATTATATATTGATCAAGTCTTTGAAAATGCTCTAATTAAACTTAAATAATAATTATAATGAGCATATGTCTTAATAAAAAACAGACAATAAACCAAAGTATATATATTATATTATTTAATTATGCTTTTATATTTTTGACAAATTTTACAGGTTTCCTTGATTAATTTGTATTAATCGACACATTAAATCGTATTAATTCGGTAGCCACGCGAAAAATACGACTCGTCTTATGTCCAAGTACGATTGTCGTCTATCAGGAAGACACTGATAATTCACGAACAAACAAGGAGCATGCATGTCGCGATTATCGCGCTACACGCGGAAAGTGAGACGTCGATTCGCCATATATCGGTTCGACATATTGATCAGAAAGATATTTTTTACACATCTTTGCACTTTGCCGAAAAAAATAAGAAAAAAGATTTTTATATCTTTCGGTAAGACGAAAAAATATTTTTTAGTTAATTTTTCGCTTCACCTGAAAGGCGACTTTAAACTTCCTGGAAATGTCGACTATAGATCGACTTTCAGTCTATAGTTAAAGTCGACAATAAACCATCTTATAAATAGTAGACTAAATGTCGACTTCAAAAGTTGACTTCAAGGTGACTAAAAAATGTCAAATATCAGCCGGCAAACAGTCATTTGTGCTATGTGGGTAGCAATTGCGAATTGTGAATTGTGGTGTCCTCTGCAGATTCTCTTTCTGCACGATCAGCATAAACTAGTGTAGTCGATAAGCTAGAAAATTTATTTCTTTTCATTCTCTAATTTTCCTGTTTATTTCATCGTAATTCAATGAAAAATGGATAATTTAATTATGTAATTTAATATTGATGTGAAGCATACAAGATCGGGCGAATCCGAAAATTTCTGTACAATAAGATATGTCGTTTAAAAAAAAAAGCGAGCGTGTTTCACGGGTGAATGTAAAATAAAATCTAGACGAAATAATTTAATATTGATTGTAAGTAACGAGACGCAGTGCAGAAATAAAAACAAACGTGTACCTCTGTATTTATGTTCCAAACTGTTTTACCAAAAATAATTATTAAATAAATATTATAGGGCGGCCGTAAAATGTTGGCACGTACGTCTACTGCGTTCCTATGAAATTGTTACAAATCTTGCCAATTTTTAAATTGCACCCATGTACGAATACAATATAAAAAATGGCTCAATTTAATTTGACAACGTAACACGTCTCACGTTCGTTCTTCACGAGTAGATTTCTTATTAAATTGATATTACTGTAAAACAGTCCTATAAGTATGCAGCAAAGAAATATATCTTTCTTCTTCTTCCGTTACTCGATATACAATATATAATAATATATATCGTGTAATTTTCAACGTGGTTTTTCCCTCGAAAATTTCTTTGCCTCGAGTGCTTCTTTTAATCCAATGCGGAAAGTAGCTCACGTGCCCGATCCGCGTTCACGTGTCACGCTTTCCACGTGAATGCGATAAGCCAGGCGAATGTCACATACGCGAGGGCCGATCAAAGGCTTCGATCAACTGGTGTCGCTCGTTAAATTGAATTAAAACAACGTCCAAAGCGTAACGTCGCTTTTAAGGTCAGCAGAACTGCGCATCGCGATGTCATTTGTTGTCGGCACGTACGCCGCGAATGATGGATTTTACCCATGTAAGGGTGCTTCAGATACTCTCGTCGATCTTGAGACCACTTGTATCAGAATCGACGATCGAGGATAACGTCACTGTGAATGACGAAGAGGAGGAGGAGGAAGACGACGCGTGATCGAGAAATATTTTGTTTCTTTACATAAAAACTTGAAAAATTGTGCAAAGTTGTAATCTGGTGACGCGATTATAAATTTTTATTGCGCGGTGATCGGTTTCCTCTCAGTATCGGTAGTGAAGTATACAAGATCGGGCGAATCCGAAAATTTCTGAACAATAAGATATGTCGTTGTAAAAAAAGCGAGCGTGTTTCGTGGGTGAATGTAAAATAAAATCTGGACGAAATATCGCGTAATTTCGAGGATCGCCCCAACATTAATTGCAATAAAATTCGACCGTTGCGAGAAAGATAAGAAAGATTGCCGACATGGAATGGATTAATTATTTCGTAACGGCGTTCGATGGCTCGTCGTCTCACACGTTAAACGTGCTGGATAATTTCGAGTCTACCAAAAGTGGAAAGTTGAAATCAGAATTTTATGTAAGTCCCCTTACGCGATCTCGCGTCCCAGAGGAAACAGCGAATGTCGTGTCATGTGGTGTAACAATTTACTCAAGGTAAACGTGCGCTTTACTTACAGCACGATGCGAATGAAAATGAAAAGATGCCGGCCGACGCGAAAGGGAAATTGTACACCAACTGCAACACCTCGGTGTGGGCGAGGAGCTGCGAGAAGGAAGTGATCGAGCCCCTACGATCGACCGAAGTCACCGGTACCATCCCCAAATGGCTGAAGGGCACCCTGCTGCGAAACGGTCCGGGCAATCTAAAAGTGGGCAAATATCGATATCAGCATCTCTTCGACAGCTCCGCCTTGCTGCACAGGTATATTTCACGCTAGAACAAATGAGAGGCCGGCAGCTCTTTATTTTCATTGACGCAAATAAATTGTGCAGATTCGAAATCACGGACGGTGAGGTCACCTACCAGCGGCGATTCGTCCAGACCGAGGTGTACAAGAGGAACATGGCGGCTCAGAGGATAGTCTTCAACGAGTTCGGTACGAGCGCGACGCCGGATCCCTGTAAGACTATATTCCACAGGTAAACAGGAGCAAGCGAGGACGCAAAGTAGAGATGATCCTGGCTGAAACATACATTTTTCGAGCAATTAATGCGAGAAAAATTACACATTTGACAAACAGATCGCGAGAAATACGTCAACGTCGCAGTTCTTTGACTGCAACATTTTTTACGGATTCTTTTGAAATGATCTTTCAGAGTGGCCACGGTGTTCAATCCGAACAAAACATTGTCGGACAATACCATGATTTCGGTGTACCCGTTCGGTGACGAATATTATACCTTCACGGAAGCGCCGGTGATGCACAGGATCGACCCGAAAAATTTAGCGACGCTGGACAAGGTAAACGCTCTTGACAAATCCTTTCGCTTTAAATTCAAATAATCAACTCCTAGTATTGGCGACGTCAACTTAAATTTTTTTATGTCATCGCGGCGTTCATAACAAATTCTAATTGCACAAATTACAGTACCGGCCAAAGTTACATCACCTTTCGATTTCTGGAGCATAACTGGCTTTAAAGTGTACGAATGAAAAATTTTAAAAAAGTCACGGTGTTTTTTGTCAAATTTCATTACCCTTCGTGTACGAGCCCTTACGAAAAAAAACACTCAAATTTTGGGTGTAAAAATACCTTCAAAAACATTTGGTGTAAATTCGGATCGTCAATTGACGGTCAACACCTAAATGAGGATTAATCTCGAAAGGAACCTCCAAATGGGGGTACCCTCAAATTATTGTAACCCCCAAATGAAGGTACTCTCAGAAGGGGTAACCCACAAATGGAGGTATACCCTCAAATGGAGGTATATCCTCAAATAGAGTCACTCCCAAATGAAAGGAATCCCCAAACGAAGTGACCCATCAGAAATAAATATAACCGTATTGCAATAAATAAGCTGGAATCGAATGAATTATTTTATTCTGCGCATTACCTGTTATACATATATTAATATACACATATATATGTTGACACTGAACTACTACCATATTAGATAAGGGTAAAATGAAAAATTAATCCAGGTTGACAGTCATACCCAACCAACACTCAATTATTGAAAGGTAACACCGAAAAGGACACCAAAATATAAATCACACCAAATTATTTGAAGGTAACACCAAAAATCATATTTAGGTTGACGGTCATATCCAACCAGCACTCAATTATTTGAAGGTAACACCGAAAATGACACAAAAAATGTTGGTTACACTGAATTATTTGAGAGTAACACCAAAAATCATACTTGGGTTGACAGTCACACCCAACCAACACTCAATTATTCGATGGTAACACTGAAAATAACTCCCAAAATGATCACACTCAATTATCTAAGGGTAACACTCGAAATGACAACAAAATTGAGGGTAAACCCTTAAGAGACACCCAAATTGATGGTAAACACCAAAAATTTCGGTGTATTTTTCGTAAGGGAGATACGCCTGCTATCGGGTGTTCTACTGTAAAATTTTGAGCGCATTCGATGCACCTTGACGAAAGTTATGCTCAGAAAACCTTAAGGTGATAGAATTTTCACCGGTACTGTATTTCCTTCGCTCGTGTTTCGCAGATAAATCTGCCCAAGTACGTTAACATCGTACATCATACTTCACATCCGCACGTTATGGCAGACGGTACGGTTTATAATGCAGGATTGAGCATCACGCCGATGGGACCTCGTTACATCGTCGTGTGCTTCTCTCCTAGTAGCGTGGTTGTTGGTAAGATATTCTTTTTTGTAATAATAGAAAGAGAAACTTTTGAAAGAAGAAACTATACACGGAGAGAATTTTCTCTTAAAATTTACCCTGGGAATCATGTGATCGTGGGATTTTGAGCAACATGGCACTTTGAAGAACCTTATGAGAGTTTTTTTAAATTTACCGTACATTTTACTAGTAAAATTGTTCAAAATGCTATGTTGTCCCACGATTACATGATTTTCAGGATGAACTTGAAGAGAAAATTCTCTCCATGTAGGAAACTATGTAGCAGTGGTCGGAAAATTAATTTCACAATGGAAGAAATAGACTGATGCCCTCGAGTTCTTACAAATTTTAAAATATTGAGCCAATATTTCAGACCATAGTAAAATACTTAAATGATAATTTAAAATATTACAATTTATACCCGTAAAATATTTAAATAGTACACTTTGGTGACTTTGAATGCAATTATTCCAGATGAATCTGGAGAAGAAAAAGAACTCTCCATGTTCGATCAAGCGACGATTGTGGCCAGTGTGCCGAGCAGGTGGATGTTCAATCCATCATACATGCACACCTTCGGCATCACCGATAATTTCTTCATCATATTGGAACAACCGCTGTCGATCTCCGTTGTTAAGATGACGACGGGTCGCTTTAAACAAGAACCAACGATGAACTCCCTCAAGTGGCACGACAACGAAAGCGTACGTATTTATCGGATTATTATCTTTGAGAAAATATACCTTAGAAAACCTTAAACTTTTACTTTAGAAAAATCAGAAATATGAAAAGTAAATTTGGATTTTAAAGACTTTTATTGAAGGTTAAAACTTTAAGAATTTAGAAGAATACTCTAAAAATCGTGAAAAGTATGTGATATAATTTAAAATACCGCGTGCGGTTTTCTTCTCACGAGAAAGTTCTATGCCGCGTGGCCCTCCCCAGCGAGAAATGACTCGTCGGTCGATGTCGAAACGATGCCGAATCGACATCGACACCGTCAAATTGACTTCGAATTGACGTTGAATTTGACAATGTCGATGTCGATTCGACATCGTTTTAACGAATCATTTCTCACTGGGTCTAGCGGGAACTTGGACAGGCTTGGCTACCTAAGAATTACTTCAAGTGTCCAAAATTACTCTAAAATTTCTTGAGTAAACTTTTAACTTCTTTAAGTACACTCTCAGATTTGGAAGATCACGTTTAAAAACTTCCGTTTCATTTAAAGTAAATTTTCCCAAGGGTAGATCCGCTAACCGGGTTAAATAGTTATTAATAAATTAAGTCCGACGTTTTCGTTACCAGACTCTTATCCACGTGATCTCGAGGGAGACGGGCAAAACGGTAAGAACGTTCGTCGCAGAGACGTTCTTCTACCTGCACATTATTAATCAGTTCGAGACTCGCGATGGAGACTACATTGCGCTGGACGTGTGCTGTTATCGTAACTCGAAGATGTTGGAGTACATGTACATCGACGCGATGAACGTAAGATATTCGCGAGGCGCGCGGCAACAGTGACTTCAGCTAACGGTGATTCTCAATATTTATGTTAACGCAGAGTATGCACGAAAACGCCGATTTCTCGAGGCTGTTCCGCGCCAGGCCGCTTCGCTTCGTACTTCCGTTGAGACAACCAAGCCAGGACACGCCGCCGGAGCGTAATCTCATCGCGGTTAAAACTGTGTATCAGAGCACGGTTGTCAACGGCGAGCCTGTCGATCGTAGACCGAGCTCTGACATCAATGGCAATGCAGGCGACAACGAGTATCACGATCAAGCCAAGCGCTGGCGAGACGAACACAAAAGCGCCCTGCGGAAGAAGCCGTCCGCTCACCGACTTCTGGACGGCAGGATTTTCGTGAAGCCGGAGCTCCTCTGCGACGTCGGTTGCGAGACCCCGCGGATAAACACGGACTTCCATCTCGGCAAGGAGTACCGATACTTCTACGCGATCTCCTGCGACATGGACCTGAAGAACCCCGGGACGGTCGGTGCATTTCCGCGAGCTTCTAAAATATAACGCGTGCTCAGTAAGAGGCTGCGGAGCCTGTCACATAATTTAATGATGCGCTCTGTATAAATAAGACAAAATTTTGTTTACAGCTCATCAAAGTTGACACCGTTCGAAAAACCAAGAAAATGTGGCAGGAATGTAATGTTTATCCAAGCGAGCCAATTTTCGTACCGGACCCTAATGGAAAGGTATATCGAGTGCCGTCTATTTACTCGGACAAATAAGAGGGAGGCCAAATTACTTTACTACTTGCTCTTTTTCTGTCTAGAACGAGGACGACGGGGTGATTGTGAGCTCGCTCGTCTGGGCGGAAAACGAGACTCAAGTCGGTCTGTTGGTCTTGGACGCTGTGACATTTACGGAAATCGCGAGGGTCACCTTTGACACACCGGGACCGGTGCCTAAATGTCTGCACGGTTGGTTCAGTCTGGCCAAGTAACCGGATGCGGAAGAGACTGCCAATGGAACGTACAGTGTCGTTCAATTGAGCGAAGGGAAGGCTCATTTGAGCCCCTTCGAGATTTCAAAGTCTTAAGAATTTTTAATTACTTTTATCGCTAAGAAACTTTTCCCTCTTTGCACCCTCTATCTCTTTTAAATATAAAGATGCGTGATCGACATCTAACAGGTATTCAATCTACCGATACCGAGCCCCGATAACAAATCTTGAATCGTAGATAGTGAAAAGTTAATAAGCGAAGACAGGTGTTGGTGTCTAATCATTTTCTCCATTTCCCTCGCGTTCTTTTTGTAATTGCGCTGATTGAATTGTATTGTCGAGTACACGAATATATGTATAATAAATTATTTAATGTCTTTCCACGATGCGTAATGTATTTACAATCGGCGGACAGCGCCATCGTATACGATAATAAATGTACAATCTAACGAGATGAGAATCTAGTCGAGTGGAATGTAAAATGTATCTTAAATATCGTCAGAAATTTTCGCGGTTCTTTGAATGGCGGAATATCAAAACGACGTTGAAGCCATTCTCTAGAATTCTCTAGAATGCGGCGACAATAATCATAAGAGTTCGATGTAGACAACACTGTCTCGATTACGTTAAACTGTCGGAACAGTAACTGCGATATACGTAATTCTACGCCTCTAATATCCTAATCATTCATCTGGCGGTAAATTGCAAGAAAATACCAATTCTGACACATTCGAAATGCGACCTTTGTTAGGACACGACTCTCGCGACAAATCTTCGGGATTCTTAATGACAAGCGAAAGTCGAATTCGATTTTCAAGTTGGACAATTTCCAAACGTATCTCTGCCATACACTTGTACAAATACACCGCGCGTCCCGTGAGAAGAATTGAAGACTACATTAAAGTAAGAGGAGAGCAATAGACTGAGTGAGTGTCTTTGTCTAATATTCGCTGTCTTACCCCACTCTTAACAAAGAGCGAGAGAGAAGCATCCCTAATAGCACAATATATTGGCGCAATATTGGTGCAATATTGTGTCAATATTAGACCAATATTCGGTAATTATGCATAAAAGCGACTTCCTTT